GACCACTCCAGTGAGACTTCATTTGGACAGTACTAGGCCTGGCGTGTGACCTTGGTGTAGTTCTTTTCTTTTTGTAGGTCTTAAGCTTCCCACTGTGAGAAAGCAGAGGGTTGAGCTAGATGATTTCAAGGGTCTTTTTTCCAATGTCTGAGGTCCTGGTGTTGTAGGCAGCTGAATTAGATAAAAATCTTATAGGCAGTCAGATAGGGCTAGACCCTCAAGGAAGACAAGATACCTTGCAACTGTGAGAGAGATGGATGCTTCTGCTGTGGGCCAGACCTAAAGACCAAGATCAAGACAATGCTGACCTCCCTAAAGATAAGCATCCAGGATTGATCATCACCTTGAGGAAGCCGGGAGGAGTCGCTAATCTGACTACTACCGGCTGGTTACTTGATAAACTCCTGTTCTGTAGCTGTGCCTGCTTGGTATGTAACGCGTTTCCCTACTTGGTCCTGAATTTAATCAGTTTGACCTGAGCATTGATGCTTGTAATCTTACTGGTTGACCATAGTTTTGTCCCACCTCATGCCCGCCTCAGCACGTTCCCATGTTCTCCTCCTTAGACCCGCCTTACTGCATGGTTTTACTCTATAAAAATCCCTGGGAATGGTAGCTTCCTGGGGCAACCTTCTGGAGTCCCCCTTTTGTCCCTCTCTCAGACAGAAGTTTTCTTTCCCCCAATAAATATTCTGCTCTTTAAAAAAAACCACAAAATACCCCTAAAACTAGGTCTTTTAAGGACCTTTCCAAATACAGCTTCTCTAACTGCAGTAGAACACCCATCTCTGACAAAACAAAATGAAAAATTGGGATATGTTGGGAGCCACAAAGCTAGGAAATCGATGTGTAGGTGGGACTAGGCCTAGTGCCTAAAGCAGACAAGCTACCTCACTTCTGAGATGAACATCCTGTCTGGTTAAGGTTAGCCATCAGTTGTTAGGCAACTTGGTGTCCTGTGTTGCTAACTTCACAAAAGTGCAAATAAAGGACTCTTGTTGTGGAAAAAAAGAGAGAAAAAATATATATGTATACACAAGAGAGTTAGGATAGATATACACCTACTTTCTCTTAGTTCATTGAGAATAAAAGTTTGTACTAATATTGTTTATGCATCATGTGTGCATCTTGTCCTCTGAATAACTACTGTGAAGACAACAATGTGCAATGTATTAATCATTGTAACCATCCCACTAACCTGTTTTGAAACTTTTATTGCTATTTTATCTTTTTTTCTCATTAAAATAATAAAAAATAAAATAAAAAATCTCCTAAAACTAGACGTCCCATTTGTCCCAGATATTCCCTTTTTAGTATCTTCTGAAAGTACTGAAAGCATCATTTCACAGTGATACATGTGAACTGATGTTTATAGCAGCACAGTTCATAATAGCTAAATCTTGTAAACCCAAATGCCAATCAAATAATGAATAGATTAACAAAATTTAAGAGTATGGTCTCGAGGTCCATCCATTTACCTATAAATGCCTCAAGTTTTTCCTTATGGGTGGATGGACCTGGATACCATGCTCTTAAGTGAAATTAATTTGACACATGTTAATATTTTATTGTCTCTCTGGTGTGAGAAACTGAAAGTATAAATAAAAATCAAAATATATAATGAATATTGTAAAATTGGAAGAAATTGTTCCAAAGAAAAGGAGAACTAAGGAGAGAGGAGGTGGGAAGGAAGGAAGGAAAAAAAGAACGAAGGAAGAAAAGGAAAATAATACATGAGAAAAGACTAAACTGGAAACAAAGTTTTGTAAACAAGGGAAATCAGGGTTAAAGGAAATAGAGAGAAAGGTACCAAGATCTATCATGTACAGGTAAAAATTCCTCATATGAATATGGGCAATGTGTATACCTAAATGGTACCATTAAACTTAATTTTAGAGAAATCACCTTGAAATATATATTCTGACCAAAGAACTGTTATTTCTTATCTGTCGTGGTTGCCTTATAAGTTGAATTCTTTCCTGAATATTGATAGATAACAGTTATAACATTTTATAAAGACAACTTGAGATAGACAAATGATAGTGCCATCAGAATCATGACATCATCATACTGGAGCCGTGAAGCTTTGTTATTTCTGAACGTTTACATTTTTATTTTAATATAAAAAACTTTTCAGTCAGTTATCTTTAATTACAAGATATTAAAGGACATACTGAAAGTTACATAGTTATCTTTTCTTTACTACCCAATAGAAATTGTGTCTCACTGATAGAATAGCAAAGAATGCTTATTTAATCAAAGCCAATAGATGTAAATTTCAGCAGGAACATCCTACTCAGAAAACCCTATTGCTTTAGACATGGAGAACTTGAATTTTTTCTTATAAAGTAGCTCAAATGTATCATAATACTTTATTTAATCACCATGGGGTGTGGCACTGTAGTACCTGGGAAGCCTGAAGAAGCCGCTCACCACAGAGAAGCTGGGGAAACTGTGGTGTAGGCAGTTGTTCTTTCAACTACGGAGAGAAGTTTTGCTCACAGGGGTTCCTGCCTAGCTACCTTAGTAACTGCTTTAGATGACTCATCATCACAGTTAACACTTCAAACTATTTATGCGTTATCTTTTGACCACGGGAAAACTCTTTAAGTTACTGCGCACAGGCAGTAATAAGCATTGCCTCTATAAAACTGATTTTGGACATTATCTTAGTATTATCTAACAGTCTGGATGGAAACAAGTCACTGATCTTTAAAATATCTTTGTCCTTATTAACTGATTTACCTTATTCTGCTGTTAAGCTGTGTGAACCACAAGCATTTGAGCTAATATCATAAGTATCTACTTAGGTTTTGGCAGCCTAGTAGGCTGTATACTTTAAGATTCACATATAGAAACATGTACAGTTTCAGTCATCTAAACCTTTACGTTTTCAAACTCCCAAGGCTTGTGTTTGTAAGTCCCTTGTGACTTGAAGTTTCTTCATCCTTATCCTTTAACTTCTTAGTGGTGTCTGCTTTTTCTAAAAACATAGATAACTTTTTTTGGTAGTAGACCAAAGAACTAGAGGGGGAAAATAGAAAAGGAAAAATAAAATTTGCATGAGTTCAAAAGTTCTAACAAAGCAGCTTTGGGTACCTTAATCACATGAACAAAAACACAGACCCAGAAACAATTATTTGAGTGCAGTCTTCGAAAGACTGGCCAGTTGAGCCAGAGCTATAATAATCTGCTGTAGGTTCACTATAAATTGACTAGTTAGAGCTTTTTGAAGGTGACTGATTAACATAGACATTTCATGAAATAAACTCGGTAGGACAGAAAAACCTCTTGTTACAGACTTTTAACCAGAAGGAGTCAGGAGGGTGAGCCAGAGCTTGGAGGTTTTGATCTTTTAATTTCTAATTCACCTTTGGAGAAAAAACCCAACTTTTATGTTAGCTATTGGCTACGTATCTAAGAGCGCAAAGACTGTGCTCCTGTCCCACCCCACGGTGGCACGCTAGGCTGCTCTACCTTCTAGCTCTCTACCTTTTTGGTACCCAACAGAAAAAAATTTAAAAGATCTGAGTGGTCCTTTTTTTTTTTTTTACAGTTAGTCCAGCTTTTAATTTAAAGTTATTTTTCTGTAATTTTGATTGTATTTTCCTTTGGATAGTAGAGACAAAACTGAGTCAAATGGAGAAGTGCTATTTTTCACTTTGGATGTGTTTAATTATAAAATATTATATACTTAGTATTTTTAAAATCCTTCTCCCAGCTCCCACCCATTATTGTCCTTGATCAAGAATTCTTTTTTTTATTCTATCTATCTATCTATCTATCTATCTATCTATCTATCTATCTATCTATTTATTTTTGCAGAACCGGGGATTGAACTCAGGCCCCCATGCTTGCCAGGGAAGCGCTTATTCCACTGAGCCATCTCCCCGGTTAGAATTCTTTATTTAAAAAATAAAATGTATTTGCTACAGGGTCACACTATGCAAGCTTGGACTGGTAGTGATCCTCCTGTTTTCAGCCTCCCCAGTGCTGGGATTATAGGCGTGCATCACCATGCCTGGACTCAAGCACTGCGTGCCCAGGGGTGGGGCCGGCCTGGTATGTGGAACTGGGAATTGAACCTCCGTCCCTATGCTTGCCTAAGCAGGTGTTTAGTCTGGTGAGCTAACTCACCGGCCTTCTAGATCAAGAATTCTTCTATATTTTTCTTAGGTTTACTTTTTAGATCTTTACTGCTCAGGTGTGGCCCTCGCTCCAGCAGCTTTGGCACTGTGGACGCTTGTTAGGAACCCAGTGTCGGGTTCCTCCTGAGACTCACTGGGTCAGAATGTACTTTGTAACACGATCTCTGGATGCTTCACATGCTCCTGTTGGAGAAGCTGAGACACAAAGGAATGGAGGATGCTGTTCAAATAATTCCCAGCGAAGTGCTGATTAGTATTGAAGTTCCTAGTTCCTGAGTGAATTGACCGCTTTAAACAGTTTATCTTCCAGTCCAGGGATGTGATGCTTCTCCTTCCATTTAGGAACCTCACTTCCTCTTTAATTTTCTTAAAATGAGCATCACACATTGGTTGGTACATTTATTTTTATTAATTATTTTGTTTATTTTTTCGCTCCTGCTGTATTTCCTTTTCTAACATTGAAAACAATTAAACACAGTGATAACAAACATGTAATACATCTACTGTTGGAATGAAAAATACATTTTATCAT